TTTTAGATTGTTGATCAGTATTTGAACTTCATTTCGCTTGAAGACGATCTCTTCGTTCTGCGACGTTACAGCGAAAATAGTCCCATGTCATATTATGGTCAGTTGTTTCAGTGTATCCCTGTACTAATAGCCACCGCCTAATAGATATCGTTCTACTTTCCATACATCATTGAATGCTTTACTTCAGCCATAAATGATCCTTCTACGTCGGATGACCAAATGGCCGCGTTTATTGATTCTGTTGCTGATGGTTTATTCGCTGTATGCGCAACAATGGGTATAGTGCCCATCATACGTTGTCCTAAAGATAATGCTGCTGAGCACGTTGCCAAGGTTTTTCCATTTTTTTCTGTTTAAGGGTAATCTACCGATTTGTTAGTTTGATGCCTTTGATTTAGCGCTTGGATCAGAAGCTTCGTGATAATCTCAGAGATGCACGCAACAATCTTTTCACCATAGAAAGTGTCCGTGCCGGTCAGTTGAATGCCAGCCGGCCTCTGCTTATCATCGCTGACAGGTAAGATTGAGAACTGATCTCCATTTCTACAGTTGCTATAGTTCTTGTTGCTGTTGATGTTGACAATCTTTTGAAAAGAGTTTCTAGTCTGTTATTTTAGATCTGCGGATCTCGCAACAATGCTTCATCACACTTGGACGTACCAGGCCTTGGTTCACGATGTCTTGGCAAGTGCTGCTCCTCCCCTGGTCCTGATACCTCCTGAAACTCCTTGTTCCAGGAACTGGATCAGAATCGTGTAACAGTTGCGGAGAAATCTGGCAAGAAAAAAGAGTACGACATGTCTAGTGGTGGCACGGATAAGCTGTGGACGAAGCACAAGGTACCAAACACTGGCTTTCGTATTGGCTGCGAATGTTTATATTTGTTGCGGCTGAAAATATTCATTACCCAGCATTCTATAATGTATATTGTCTAGGGTAGTGCTTTCCCGTTGGTAGCCGAAGCAGTACAAGAAGATCTGGAAGCTTATCGCAACAGCGAAGACGAAATTAAACGACTCAAACATGCGATGGTAAGTTTCCAAGACTTTTAGTGTATTTTTTGATGACATCTGATGGAAAACACTCATACACATACAGCCGTTTTACTGCAGACGCTGGGGAATGGGAAGGGGGGACCAGGGGTGGGGGAGGGAGCTTGGCGCTACGCTAGCCCATTCTCTACCAAATGTTGTCGCTAGGCCGCTTCAACAAATGGTGGAGAACGAATTGGCGCCGCGGCAAACCCAGACTCCCTGAGCGGCAGCGAAAACCACTACATTTTCCGATTCATTTGGGCGT